AAATTTCACTAGACATAAAAAGATAAATACTAAGATAACAAGAAGAATGTGCACGACGAAATTCAGTGACAGTATATCGAAGATGCAGTAAGTGGTTACAGTGAAACTTCAGAAAAAAACTGTAGAACACAGTAGTAATATCTCTCCGTGAAAAAATTCCATAACTAAAAGAATCTCTAGCGTGCACTGGAAACGCTACATCTCACACTTAACCACAAGTGTGTGATTGTGTATAGAAGAGATACAGGAAAAATACAACAATCCAATTACCACATTTCTCTAAGGCTGCCTTAGAGATATGCAGTCCAGAAAAGGAAAAAGGGAATGCAGTAAAACTTTTTGAGGCAAATATTATACAAAGAAACCGTGCACTCCAAATAACTAAGATCTTTTTGTAAATCAGACTAGAGATCAAGATGAAAGGACATCCAAGGAATTGCACCCTCGCCTTATTTTTAGAATACACCATAGCTGTTATTAAATTAAATAAAAATTGAGGGAAATAAAAGGGAAGAATATTTGTTACCCAAACTTGCCATTCCAACTACCATGAGATGAAGCATATATTCTCCGTCTCACACTCTCACCACCTTCTTTTTTGTGTGCGTGCTATAATGCTATATTACATTCCAGTCAACAGAATCTTCTTTGGTAAAAAATAAAGGCTTTGAAGGTTTCGAGACATCGTCTATAGTGGATTCCTCCAATAAACATCAGAACAAAAAATTCCACCATTCATTCTGGGAATATGGTTCCTCAAATTTAACAAATGACAAAGATAAGTGCACAGGGAAAGAAAGACTGGGGTGGATCTATTCTTGTACCTAGTGTAAGGTGTCAAGTTTGTCAAGATTCATAGTGAGAGGAAATTTAAGTGGGCAGTGCAGCTGTCGGAGAATGGAAAGGGCAGTTGCATGAGAGGGGACCCACAGATGTGTGAGATTGGAAGAGCAAGATCTCTTTTTGAGTCGCTGTGAAGATTGGATTAGATCTAATGTTTTGTTGGCCCTGTCCAATATTCTATGCCTCACTTGTAACCCCACCTCTCCTCATTTACTTATAAGACATCCCTGAGCACAGCTTTAGAACGTGAAAATTGATCAGAGAAAACAAGAAATAGATAAGGGTTGTAGTAGACAACATCTGTTTACCACCAAAGTATCAGGAATGCAGAATTGAATATAGCAGAATCATAATTCTCATATAAGGGTGGGCGATAGCTGATTGAAACGGGAGCCTTTTACCATTTCAGGTACATATATTATTTGTTCACAACCACATAGATCTTATCCTTTCACTCTTAATATGAAGTTAATTTGTTTCGAACACATGATGAAGACAACAAAATGTATCACCACCACCACCAAGGAAAAAATCTTCACCCATCTGCAAGAATGTTCACTCCACCTGAAAGGCACCTGTTCCACCAAGGTGCAAATGGCACCGGAGATTCCGGACTTGTTCTTTCCACTGATGCCAAGCCAAGACTGAAATGGACTCTGGACCTCCATGAGCGATTCATAGAGGCAGTTAATCAACTTGGCGGAGCAGATAGTAAGTGCATACAACATGTCAAGCTCACGAAGCCCCAATAAACTGCTACTGTATTCATCTATTCAATATGATTTGTTCTGTTGCAGAAGCTACTCCAAAATCAGTCTTGAAACTTATGGGAATTCAAGGACTAACCTTATACCACTTGAAGAGTCACCTTCAGGTGCATTCATTATTGCCAATTCTATGCGCAACTTAGTTTCCAACTAAACCGTTTCAAATAAGCAGCCAGGTTTTTCAGTTACATCACACAATCCCCACTTTAAATTCCCACAAACCCTTAAGAAAGCTGCTAAAAATAAAGCATTAGTAAACTATAAAACCTCCTTTCTCAATGACAGGAAAAGTACTCCGTGCATATGTAGATATGCATGTATTCTTTCACTCAGCGTGCATGTGTGTTTCATTTAGAAACATATAGATAAAACGTGTTCTCAACCTTCTATATGTCTGTTGGCAGAAATACAGACTCAGTAAAAACCTCCAAGGACATGCTAATAGTGGGATCAACAAAGCTGGTAACAAGTCCGGTAACTACCAGAAAACTATACACGTTTGACCTCTTTCGGAAATGAAACTTGTTACAATTGTTGAAATTTTCACATTTCCAACAATTAAATATGAATATGCAACGGTTAGTAGGCAATGAAATCATTCTAAGTTTTTCAAGCTGCCATTATAACAAGGTTCATTATCCATGCATAGGTACAACGCCATTTACAGCTCCGCATAGAGGCTCAAGGTAAATATTTACAGTCTGTACTTGAGAAAGCACAGGAAACTCTTGGAAGACAGAACTTGGGAACAATTGCTCTAGAGGCTGCCAAGGTTGAGTTATCTGATTTGGTGTCCAAAGTATCCACACAATGCCTAAATTCTGCAATTTCAGGGGCGAAAGAACTGTCAGATATGTGCCTTGAGCAAACACAGATGAAACCAACAGATGATTCAATTGACAAATGCTTAATCTCCAATGGAAGTTCTATGAGGGACCAAGAACTGTACGTTAATCAAATGGAATTGACACCTTCGAATTTTAGAGCACCAACCAAGTCGAGGGAGTATGAAAATGAACCCAAGCTGCAAGATACTGAACTCACATGGTGCGAAAACCTGACAGAGAGCAGAAAGTTTCTTTCCACCATGGATGACAATAAAAACTCCAGCAATTTATCAATGAGCATTGGACTTCAGGGAGGAAATTGGAACAGCAGCAGCAACTATTCAGAGGAAATACATAAAAGAACTGGTACAGAGTATATATTTTTGGAACAAGATACTCATATAAATGATTCAATCAAGCTAGAGGAGCAGAAGACATCACCAAAGTTTCAACCACCTTACTTTTCAAACAAACTGGACCAAAACACAGAGGATGAAAATGATGCTTCTTCAAGTTGCAAGAAGTTTGATTTAAATGGTTTTAGTTTGAGCTGAACAAAAACACGGTTAGAGCAATTTTCATCAGAGAAGAAAGTTTGACTTAGTTACCGAAACCTGGTGTACCCATTTGTTTCATGTAATTGAATACATGTTTAGTGAAATGATAATGCGATTGGGTAGATTTATTCATAAAAATCAAGATAACCTTTTCCCAACAGACATGAATAGACACCTGATGGACATTCAACGTTCTTTAATTCCAAAACATCAACAGATACATTAGTTGAGTTCTATGTTCATACATTAGTTTGTAAGAATCTAATCCAGCACTTAAAAATAGATCCTAAGATCAGCTAGATAACAGTACAAGATACTAGTGAAGATACCTGACCTATTCCTCCTTCGTGGATGGCGGGCCTAAACCACTCCGGTACCTTCTATCTCTCCGTTGCCACTCCAACACTGAGTCATAGATATGTAAGGGAAATATATTGTATATTATTTATGAATGTAGAAGGCTGGGAAATGTAGTGTGTTAAGGTCCATACTTAGGCACCACAGGCTCCCTTCTTCGTGATGTGGCGTCTTGATTGATTCATTCAGATAGGTGAACTTACTTGTGAACTGCCAAGAATATAGGAAATGGTGTCTCATGACGCCATGACCATTATTACACCTGTACGAATGAATTGACAGAGCTCGAGGTGCTAACGGCCTTGACTGGCTTTGAGTGATATTGCGCCTGTCCTTCAGGTCATTGACTGTGACTTCACTTATCAACTTCGACCTTTACCTTTAAAGTGATGGTCAACCAACTGGCCTAGATTATAAGTTCGCACTGTGGTGGAACTTAGTGGCGTCGACCTCAATCAAGGAACCAAGTTAGACTCGGATGTTCGTGGTCTGCTTAGCCTCACGATCGAGGTCCATAGTCTAATCAGATGCATACTCTTCCACGAGCCAGACTTCACCTATAAACTTCTTACACTCACCGTGAGGCCTTTAAGTGCCCTGTAGGTATCACTGTCGCAGAAGAAGTAAAATAAAATTACAGAGTTATATAAAGAAAAAGTCAGTAGGCAGTGCAAAATTTAGTGATAAATCTGAGAATGTTGTACAATTAACAAGCCTAAGCATAAAGTTCCATATCAAGTAGTAAAGGTGTATTCAACACAGGAAATCATCTTAAAACAAGAATCACTGTTAACCATAAATCAAACAAATAACAGAACGTTCACTTTAGCGGATTCATGTAACAAAAGTATTCAATAAAAAAATACCAGAAGACGAAAAGAATCCCAAAAAAAAAAAATAATAATAATAAAATAAAAGGACCTAGCAGCATTTCTGAAATATGTGATACTTTCTTAATCTACTTTTGATCAAGCTTTAGCAACCCAACAGAGCGCATTCCAATCAAATGTATGAAATAAAATTCATGAATCAATTAGAATAGCCCATAGGGTAAGTAATGATCCGATTGATTCGTCCGCGATTAACTACAAGAAAAGTAAATTATTCATTGTCCAAATGCTTTTAGACAGAAATAATCAAATAACTGTGGAAATTCTACTGTAAACACTTCTACAATCGCTCGCTGTCATTGTAATACAATAAATGTAAGGGTTTTTCATCAGCGTTAGTAATTCAGCCATTGTTTGCCAGAGAATTGATCCGAAAGAAGTTTTTCGGAGGGAAATTAATGGGCCCCATTAACCAACTCTATGGGTACCTAGACAAATATCCCATATATTGGGACTATTTTGAAAAATCTTGATAAAGTTGGATTAAATGGTAATTAGATAGAGTTTCAAACCTAAAAATCACGCTACCACAAAAACCAGCCTCCAAACTGAAAAAATCAAGGGAAATTTTGAAGAAGAAAGAAGTAAACTTCCACAAATTCGTTCATTATTCAAAGCTTTGGAAAAAGATCAAGATACTTCATCATTAAAATCTTTGGAAAAAGATCGAGACAATCTTCCTGCAGTACACAAATAAAATTACAGGTTTTTTTTTTTTAATGTTTTGGAATCACTGTTTAATTAATTCCACAATTTTATCAGAAATTTACCTTTAAGTGAAGCAATACAATTGCAAATTGAAACGCAGAGAAGGTTACATGAGCAGCTCGAGGTAAAAAAGGAAATCACTAATATATATATATATATATATATATATATATATATCACTTTGAACTCTGAAATAAAATGTTGCTTCTGGATGTACTATCGGAGCTTGCAGTATTGTAATGGATGGAGATTCGAATGTTTGGTGAAAAGATGCATCACAGCCAAATTATTGAGGCAAAATTTTGACTCATTTTAGATTAAGTCCCTGTTCAAGCCCCATACTTTAAAACTTATTTTTTCTCGAACTCATTTCAACAATACATTCTCCCAATAAAATAATTTTGCACGTAAATCCAATATTTTTATTTTTATTTTTCACTTTTTAACCAAGCATTCTCCGTAAAAATCACTATTTACAAAATCTATTGACAAAAAAGGATTGTCAAACAGAGGCTAAGATTGCATTGTCAAACAGGTGCTAAGATTACACGTTTGACCTCTTTCGGAAATGAAACTTGTTACAATTGTTGAAATTTTCACATTTCCAACAATTAAATATGAATATGCAACGGTTAGTAGGCAATGAAATCATTTTAAGTTTTTCAAGCTGCCATTATAACAAGGTTCATTATCCATGCATAGGTACAACGCCATTTACAGCTCCGCATAGAGGCTCAAGGTAAATATTTACAGTCTGTACTTGAGAAAGCACAGGAAACTCTTGGAAGACAGAACTTGGGAACAATTGCTCTAGAGGCTGCCAAGGTTGAGTTATCTGATTTGGTGTCCAAAGTATCCACACAATGCCTAAATTCTGCAATTTCAGGGGCGAAAGAACTGTCAGATATGTGCCTTGAGCAAACACAGATGAAACCAACAGATGATTCAATTGACAAATGCTTATTCTACAATGGAAGTTCTATGAGGGACCAAGAACTGTACGTTAATCAAATGGAATTGACACCTTCGAATTTTAGAGCACCAACCAAGTCGAGGGAGTATGAAAATGAACCCAAGCTGCAAGATACTGAACTCACATGGTGCGAAAACCTGACAGAGAGCAGAAAGTTTCTTTCCACCATGGATGACAATAAAAACTCCAGCAATTTATCAATGAGCATTGGACTTCAGGGAGGAAATTGGAACAGCAGCAGCAACTATTCAGAGGAAATACATAAAAGAACTGGAACAGGGTATATATTTTTGGAACAAGATACTCATATAAATGATTCAATCAAGCTAGAGAAGCAGAAGACATCACCAAAGTTTCAACCACCTTACTTTTCAAACAAACTGGACCAAAACACAGAGGATGAAAATGATGCTTCTTCAAGTTGCAAGAAGTTTGATTTAAATGGTTTTAGCTTGAGCTGAACAAAAACACGGTTAGAGCAATTTTCATCAGAGAAGAAAGTTTGACTTAGTTACGGAAACCTGGTGTACCCATTTGTTTCATGTAATTGAATACATGTTTAGTGAAATGATAATGCGGGTTCATAAAAATCAAGATAACCTCTTCCCAACAGACATGAATAGACACCTGATGGACATTCAATGTTCTTTAATTCCAAAACATCAACAGATACATTAGTTGAGTTCTATGTTCATACATTAGTTTGCAAGAATCTAATCCAGCACTTAAAAATAGATCCTAAGATCAGCTAGATAACAGTACAAGATACTAATGAAGATACCTGACCTATTCCTCCTTCGTGGATGGCGGGCCTAAACCACTCCGGTACCTTCTATCTCTCCGTTGCCACTCCAACACTGAGTCATAGATATGTAAGGGAAATATATTGTATATTATTTATGAACGTAGAAGGCTGGGAAATGTAGTGTGTTAAGGTCCATACTTGAGCACCACAGGCTCCCTTCTTCGTGATGTGGCGTCTTGATTGATTCATTCAGATAGGTGAACTTACTTGTGAACTGCCAAGAATATAGGAAATGGTGTCTCATGACGCCATGACCATTGTTACACCTGTACGAATGAATTGACCGAGCTCGAGGTGCTAACGGCCTTGACTGGCTTTGAGTGGTATTGCGCCTGTCCTTCAGGTCATTGACTGTGACTTCGCTTATCAACTTCGACCTTTACCTTTAAAGTGATGGTCAACCAACTGGCCTAGGTCTAATCAGATGCATACTCTTCCACGAGCCAGACTTCACCTATAAACTTCTTGCACTCACCGTGAGGCCTTTAAGTGCCCTGTAGGTATCACTGTTGAAGAAGAAGTAAAATAAAATTACAGAGTTATATAAAGAAAAATTCACTAGGCAGTGCAAAATTTAGTTATAAATCTGAGAATGTCGTACAATTAACAAGCCTAAGCATAAAGTTCCATATCAAGTAGTAAAGGTGTATTCAACACAGGAAATCATCTTAAAACAAGAATCCCTGTTAACCATAAATCAAACACTTTAGCCGATTCATGTAACAAAAGTATTCAATAAAAAAAATACCAGAAGACGAAAAGAATCCCAGAAAAAAATAATAATATAATAAAATAAAATAAAAGGACCTAGCAGCATTTCTGAAATATGTGATGCTTTCTTAATCTACTTTTGATCAAGCTTTAGCAACCCAACAGAGCGCATTCCAATCAAATGTATGAAATAAAATTCATGAATCAATTAGAATAGCCCATAGGGTAAGTAATGATCCGATTGATTCGTCCGCGATTAACTACAAGAAAAGTAAATTATTCATTGTCCAAATGCTTTTAGACAGAAATAATCAAATAACTGTGGAAATTCTACTGTAAACACTTCTACAATCGCTCGCTGTCATTGTAATACAATAAATGTAAGGGTTTTTCATCAGCGTTAGTAATTCAGCCATTGTTTGCCAGAGAATTGATCCGAAAGAAGTTTTTCGGAGGGAAATTAATGGGCCCCATTAACCAACTCTATGGGTACCTAGACAAATATCCCATATATTGGGACTATTTTGAAAAATCTTGATAAAGTTGGATTAAATGGTAATTAGATAGAGTTTCAAACCTAAAAATCACGCTACCACAAAAACCAGCCTCCAAACTGAAAAAATCAAGGGAAATTTTGAAGAAGAAAGAAGTAAACTTCCACAAAATTCGTTCATTATTCAAAGCTTTGGAAAAAGATCAAGATACTTCATCATTAAAATCTTTGGAAAAAGATCGAGACAATCTTCCTGCAGTACACAAATAAAATTACAGGTTTTTTTTTTTTTAATGTTTTGGAATCACTGTTTAATTAATTCCACAATTTTATTAACCTATGATGGAGAGTTTCAAACCTAAAAATCACGCTACCACAAAAACCAGCCTCCAAACTGAAAAAATCAAGGGAAATTTTGAAGAAGAAAGAAGTAAACTTCCACAAAATTCGTTCATTATTCAAAGCTTTGGAAAAAGATCAAGATACTTCATCATTAAAATCTTTGGAAAAAGATCGAGACAATCTTCCTGCAGTACACAAATAAAATTACAGGTTTTTTTTTTTTAATGTTTTGGAATCACTGTTTAATTAATTCCACAATTTTATTAACCTATGATGGATGATTGAAATAGAAGCAAAAATAATCGATGTCTCTTCTCTCTGCATATTAATAAATAAATAAATAAATAGATTGCTAATGCTACATTTGAAGTTTTTCTTTGAAGATTACTGTGCTTAAGTATTACATATTAGCACTTTGCATTAAAGGATTTTGTATGCTTGATATTATTGTGAACGAGACTTGGTGTGTTTTGCTATTTGTTTAACAAAAAAGACAACAGAATTTTGGTCACTTGTGAGCTTATGTGAATGTGTTTATCCATTATCTCATACCAATTCAATCCCTATTTTCTAATAATATATATGAAAAGTAAGCTTTGAATCACTTAAAATGATGCATGCAAGATGTTTGACAAAAGGAAAATGTGAAAAATTCACATTTTGTCACTTTTCTTAGAAAGTCACATATCTCTTTTGAGCAATTAGCTAGATGCATACGTATGCATTTTAGAAATTTGAATATATCAATTTAAGCATTGTTTCTGGTAATACATATGAAAAAAAAAACTTTAAATCAATGACATTGATGTATGCATGGTGTTTGATTAAGAAGAACGTAAAAAATTGACATTTTGTCACTTTTCTCAGAAAAAGTCAAAGTATCTCTTTTAGGCAACTAACAAGATGCATATGTTTGCATTTTTTAAAATTTGAAGATACTAATTCAAGCCCTGTTTTTTAGTAATACATATGAAGATGAAAACTTCGAATCAATAACATTGATGCATACTTGGTGTTTGATTAAGAAGAATGAGAAATTTTGTCACTTTTCTCATAAAAAGTCACAGTATCACTTTTCGTAGGAAAAAGTCACAATATCTCTTTTGGCCAAAAAAGTGACGATAGAAATTGATGTATTTTGTTAAAAAAAAATCCTTCGTTGCACGTATGTGCATATGACAATGGATATCATACTCCATTAACATTGTAAATATGTTCAAAATTTCACAAAAAAACACATCTTTAGAAAGCATACTTATTAACATATAATGTCACTTTTTTGTTAAAAATGTGATATTATGTCACTTTTTTTCTTTTCGTAGGAAAAAGTCACAATATCTCTTTTGGCCAAAAAAGTGACGATAGAAATTGATGTATTTTGTTAAAAAAAAATCCTTTGGTGCACGTATGTGCATATGACAATGGATATCATACTCCATTAACATTGTAAATATGTTCAAAATTTCACAAAAAAAACACATCTTTAGAAAGCATACTTATTAACATATAATGTCACTTTTTTGTTAAAAATGTGATATTATGTCACTTTTTTTCACATACGGGAATCTAGCATACTAAAACCTACAAATATATTATAGTTAGGTAACATATTGCAATTCTTGAACATTAGTACCAATATTGATCAGCTACATCAACAATATTCTTGCTCCATTAACATTGTAAGCATGTTTAAAATTTCACAAAAACACCTTTAGAAAGCACACTAGTTGACATATAATGTCACTTTTTGTCATGCCTTAGTGAAACTGGGTCGTTAGCACATATATCCTCCTTCTCAACCTTACTAAAACGATATATCCATTGCAATATCAAACATATAATTTCACTTTGACCTTGGAGTAGTATAATAGGTTCAACATCAATTAGGTAACATACAAGCTGCTGGCATGTTAGAAACTACAAACATGTTACAGTTAGGTTCTAACACTAATATTGATCAACAACATCACTAATATCCATGCTCCATTGATATTGTAAAAACACATTCTAGAAAATCAGTTATTAACAATTCAAGTTATGCTACTACCGTTAACATTGTCACTTTTCCCTAAATCAGTCATTATATACAAGACATCAATTACCAACCAACTTATGTGCATCTACCAAATATTCTAACAACTAAATTAGTCATTACAAAACAAGACATGTTTTCACTTCCTGAAAATCACCTTCTTCTGTATCACATCAACATATAGCTAATCCATCACCTTTGACACCCACTCATTATCGGTATCATATTTCTCATCTTGTTTCTTCTTTCCATAAGCATATAACTGAGTTGCCAAGTTTCTTCTAATATGTGGAACGTTAAATGTGTTTGGCATCTCATTTAACATTCCGTTAATGAAGTACTGGACATACTTAATTACATATATTCCACAATCTCCACTGCATGCAAAATGAAAAATATTTTAGATAATTAAATACTAGAATGTCAAATGAAAAAAAAAATCTTTACAAATAATCTAACCTGATATTTTATTGTGAAAGTTTTGGAACTAGTTTTACAACTAATGGTTTCAAAGCATCTTTTTTTGAAATGCCATTTCCCTCAAAGAAGCCAGTATGAAGGAGAAAATGAGGAATTATATCAGAAAATAGTTTAACAGCCTGAAGTACTAAAGCCTTCCTGACAACCTTGTTGTATGAATTATATACATTAAGACATATGTTGAATGACGAAATGACACAAAATCCAATGAGCTGAATTGGATATTCTAATTGGAATAAGCAAATGGTTAATAAGGCTCTAATTTGTGTTGCACGACATATACAACCCAATAACATATGAAAGAAGAGAAGTTTCCTTTTTTTTATAGTAGACTTATCTTGGCAAAATTGGCATACAGACCTCTCATTTTGCTAACAAATGGAAAATTCGTGGTTGTAACCTTTATTCTCATCCTTTCTCCATGTCTTAACATCTTTTTTAAATAATAAAAACATACATTAATATGCTACGAAAAAAGAGAAGAATGATAAAATCAACATTTGTAATAAAAATTATACAAAAGAATCTTAAAACACCGACAAACAAAACAACTTATCATATCTTCTAAACATTCATTTGGAGTAAACGATTCATACCACCATTGTTTTGTAGATATTGAAATATCACTAAAGTAGAAGCACGGTTTGATAATAGAATTTTCATTATTGAAATGTTTGTGCCTACTAACAAAATGCAAAAAGTCACATGAAATGTCATTTTACTGGAAAAAATTCATAAACAACAAATATTAGTAACGACTTACTTATTTTTTTAATCAATCCCTTGTTAAACCAAAGCTCAAAGGTATCAACACCATGTGCCATCGGAGGGCCAACACCAACTGGGAATGCAAAAGTACTTTTTACAACACGTTTCTTAGTCCACGATGTCGAATCATATTAATTGACCCAAGGAGACTGAAGAAGCAATCCAAGTTCCTTTTATCTTTTCATAGGCATGTCTGTTGTCACTTCATAATCTATATTAATAGTTTCAATATTTCACTCCTCAATTCCAGTTTCAGTTCAATCGCAGCCGTGATTTCCACAACTTTTTTTTCCCAAATATCATCTTTCAATTCAAATTCCTTGTCCAACAATTCAATTATGTTATTATCAGATGGTAATGCAACATGCTAGAACATGAACAATAATAGAAATACAAATATCAAATTATATTAACGTAAAAATAGACATAAATTATGAGGAAAAAGATAATAAAATGAAAACACAAGTACTTATTGATTTTTTGTTAAACTACGAACAACAATATCATCAACTCTTAACCAATTATCTTTATGAAATTCTATTTCTTCATTCAAATTCATTTCAACTGCCTTATCACTTTTTTCCACTGCCCTGACACTTTTTTCCACTATCGTGTCACTTTTTTCAATTGACTTGTCACTTTTTTTTTATAGGCACCTCAACATTTTTTTCTATACAACTCATTTCAAACTCAATACCTAAAGAAAAATTAGAAAAATACACCTAGTCTGTTTAATTGGATAAACTCACACCATCATGCAAGAAAAGTCACCAACATACTCAAAAAGTGACAATAAGCTAAAAAAGTGACAAAATTCAACAAAAAGTCACAAGTATTAATTCTAAACTCGATAACCAGTCAGCATCTTCTCTAC